GGGTAACGAGAGCGAGTCTCCGTCTCAAAAAAAAAAAAAAAAGAAAAGAAAAGAAAGCATGTTGGGCTGGGTGCAGTGGCTCACACCTGTAATCCTAGCACTTTGGAAGGCTGAGGTGGGAGACTGTGAGACCAACCTGGTCTCAGGCTGGTGTTGCACACCTGTAGTCCTAGCTACTTGGGAGGCTGAGGCAAGAATATGGCTTCAGCCGGGGAAGTCAAGGCTGCAGTGAACCAAGATCATGCCACTGCACCTCAGCCTGGGCAACAAGAGGGGAACCCTGTGTCAAAAAAGCCCTCCAAAAGCTGTGCTGGGAGGGCCAGTCAGATAGGGGAGGAAGGTCGTTTGTGTAGGAAAATACTCAGCATCACTGGCCAGGGGCAGAGCCAGGTTTGAGCTCAGCACAGCCCATGGGTGGTGGGTCAGAGGGAGGGCTTTTGGGAGTCCCTGGTCTTACATGTGTCCTTGGGTTCCCTCCAGCTTCTAGTCCTTTCTTGGGACCCTTTTCTGTTCTCTGAAGTCGCCTGCCTTCTGAAGTGTTGGGTCCTGTGGATCTGCTTTTTGGCACAGTCAGGACACAGACTTGGGTGTTTGTGGAGCTCCTGGTTCACAGAGAGCTCTGGGCTTGACCACGGGAGTCCCTGCGGCTGTCCGGCCACATGGGTCTCATGCCTTCCCCCTCCCACTCCCACAGTGAGCAGCGGCTCCGTCACAGTGAACGCCGACTCTTCCGTGCAGTTACTGGCTGAGGAGGCAGTGACTCTGGATATGTTGGACCTGGGGGTGAGTGCCAGAGGGTACCTGATGCTCAGCAGGCGGGAGCTGTCCAGGCTTTGGGGGAGGGAGTGCTGGGGGACCAAGAAGAGCCAGGCTGGGGTCCCTGCTGGGCCCTCACCATCCCTCAACCCCCTGCAGGCAGCCAAGGCAAACTTGGAGAAGGCCCAGGCGGAGCTGTCGGGGGCAGCTGACGAGGCCACGAAGGCCGAAATCCAGATCCGAATTGAGGCCAATGAGGCCCTGGTGAAGGCCTTGGAGTAGACGGTGTGTGTCTGGTGCCCGGAGGCCTGGCTGGGGGCTGGGCAGGGGTGCCAGGTGGGCCCAGTCAGCTCCTGGGGTCCTGGCCACCCGGGGAAGCCACACCTGCCAAGGAGGCCACCAGAGGGCAGTGCAGGCTTCTGCCTGGGCCCCAGGCCCTGCCTGTGTTTAAAGCCCTGGGGACTGGGACCGAGATGCTCCTCCTGAGCTTTGGCTGTGCGTGTCACCCGAGGGGCTCTCCTTACGCCTCTGAAGATCCCCACAGCCTGACATCTGCATAACACCCCTCTGCCCTTCAGAGCCAGCCGCCGAGACCTGTGCTTCGGAGCTGCCTCCCTGAACGACCTGCCCCAGCCCCTGCCCGATTAAAGTGCAGGAAGCCTGACTGTGTGCACAGCTCTTGTCACTACTCCTGCCTGGTGAGGCCAGGACCATCCCAGGCCTCTGCCCACATCCTGCGTGTCCCCCTGGAAATAAGGCCTTTGAGCTCCCCTGGACTCAGTACCTCTTGGGGTACCTGGAGGTCCTTGGGAAACAGGCTTGAGTAGGTGGGTCCTGCTGGGCAGGCTGGGTGCTGACCTTCACCCCATGATGCTGGGGAGGGTGATGGTTGCCAGTGATGAGGGCCTCAGGCGGGAGGGATGTCCCCACTGCTGGCACCTCTGCGGAGTTCCTGGTCTCCAGTCTTGGTGCCTTGACCCTAAGCCCTGCAGGCCCCTGGCTCCACCTACCAGCCCCTGGGAAGAGGCGGGCCCCACCTGCTCCCACGCTGGCCCCGCCCTGTGGCCGCCCATCATGTGGGTGGCCCTGCCTGGCAGGATGCTGAATCTGCAGTGTTTTTGGCATGTCCGTGGGCACCTAGGCCTCTGGGTTGGCCCCAGATGGAGTGGGGCGGGCCTAGGAGGGGGTGGCTCCCTGGCACTGTCTCTCCTGGGCCTGCTACTCCTCCCTTCCGCAACCCCAGTGGGTGGGTGACAGCTCCAGGGGGTGTGTAGGTGGTGGGGGCCGGGGTCTCCTGACCTCCTCTCCTCCTCGGGACTGGGCCCTGCGGAGTGGGATGGGCAGGGGATTCCAGGGAGGGGAGGGTGGGCCTGCCTGTGTCACTGGAGCTGGGATAGTGACAGGCCACCCTAAGGCCGGTCAGCACAGACCGGCTGCTCACTCCAGTGTCACCGTCCCGTATGGGTGACTCACCATGGCTGCACTAGAGGCTTGGTGCCATTGGGGGGCCTCCAGGTGTGCTGGGGCTGCTGGTCAGCAGGTCAGGTATTCTGGGACAGTCCAGAGCCCCTTGCCTGGCTCCCGCTCTACCTGGGCTTGAGGGCATGAGTGACCAGCCCCCCACTTCTCCAGGAACCCCCAGCCCAGGGAAGGCTGTGCCAGCTACCAGATCACAGGAGCAGCCTCTGACCAGGCCCCACCCTCCCCGTCCCTCGGCTCCTGGCCCAGGTCTTTGAGTTCCTGCCAGGCCACCAGGACCCTATAAATAAAACCAAGGGCATGGCTGGGGCTTGGCAGGGGCCCAGCAGGAGCTGCTCACTAAGCCACCTGCTCCTGGCTTGGGCCAGCAGCACCCACACCGGGGACCCCCTGCCCCCACCGCCAGGGAGGTGTGAGCCTTGGAGCCAGGCCTCAGGACACCCAAAACACCTGACCCTGAGGGAACAGCCCGTGCTGGCTGGACGTGTCCCGGGGCAGGAGGCCGCCAGGGTGGGGCCAGGACCCAGGCAGTCAAGGCCCTTCCGCAAGGGCAGCCCCAGGCTCAGTGGGCAGGACGGAGCACAGGGTTTGTCCTCATCACACCCAGAAACCACCTACTCAGCCACGGGGATGCCAAGGATGGGAACTGATGGAGAAGTGTTTTAGCACGTTTATCAGTTTAGACTGACTCTGGGCATCTGGCCCCCAAAGGGCCACATAATGGCCCCCGTGGAGCCTGGTATGTCCCCACAACCCATCCCATTCCAGTCCTGACCAGACTGAGGTGACTGTGTCCAGGTGGCAGAGCTCTGCTAACCCCAGGGTCACCCCCAGCCCACTGCCACCCCCACACATGAGAGGTGGGGAGGGAAGTGGGGGCTGTCGGCCACTCAGAGGACCCTAATGCCCTGCCAGGATTGCCCATCCAGTGCCAGCCCGAAGCCCCCTCCACCACCTCTGTTGCCATTGGGAGCAAAATGAGCCTGGCCCTGCAGGTCCCACACACGGCCCAGCCCCTCATCCAGGCCCCATTAATCCACACCGGAGCATCTGATTTTTGTTCGTTATGAGACGGAGTCTTATTCTGTCCCCAGGTGGGAGTGCAGTGGCTCCGTCTTGGCTCACTGCAACCTCCGCCTCCCGGGTTCAAGCAATTTGCCTGACTCAGCCTCCCCAGGAGCTGGGAGTGCAGGTGCGTGCCACCACGCCCCCCCGGCTAACATTTGTATTTCAGTAGAGATGGGTATTTCACCGTGTCAGCCAGTAGGGTCTTGATCTCTTCACCTCGTGATCCGCCCACGTCGGCCGCCCAGAGTGCTGGGATTACAGGCGTGAGCCAGCACGACCCTGGGCATCATCTTTTTTATGTGACAAACTCCTCATTCCTCAAATCTCAGCCCCTGTGACCCCCTTCCAAGGGTTTGCCCAGCCTCTCCCTCTCCGGCCTAGCCCTGATCCTGCGGGGCTGGGTGTGCCTGTCAGGGTGGGGAGGAGTACAGTCCTGGGAGGGGTGCCCATGGCCAGGGTGAGGGTGGAGGTGGTCAGGCCAGATAAGTGGACAGGAGGTGCTTCAGTAGGGATGGGGTCCCCTTCTCTGGACAGAGGGACAGGACAGGGGCCAGCCCAACAGGGGACTCCCTCAAAAAGCCACTACCGAGAAGGTATGATACACCCCACATTCCTGTCTCTTTGGCTGTGCCTCAGTTTCTTCATCTGTAAAACGGGGGTAATGCCCACCCCAAAGGCTGGGAATGAGTCCATGTCCTGCATTAACAGGGGACGATGGCTCCAGAGTGAGCCTGCTTCATCCCCTCACTACACTCCCACCCACCCTGGAGAAACTGAGGCTGGGAGAAGCCAGTTACCTCCCGAGGTCACAGCATAGCTGGATGGTGACTGGCTGGGCACAAGGCAGGCCTGGCACTGGCTAATCGCTCCATAAATGCCCTCTGAGGTCACCACTGACAGATGCAGGAGGCCAGAGCTGGCCGAGGCACCCCCACTCCACGGCAGGTGACTCCAGCCTGTTTTCCTGGACGACGGCCGCTGACTCAGGCCCCTCTTCCCGTCCCCCCCACGCTGGGGCCCCCAGGCGGAAGCACCGGGCCTGGGGTGGCAGGAAGGGGGCGGGGCAGAGAGCCGCACCGTACACCCCCAAACTCCGTCCAGGTGACGATTCAGGGTGCATCCGAGCCCGCAGAAGGCAGGCCGAGACCCTTGGCTCGAAACATTCAAGGGGCGTCCACCCATGAACTGCACGAAGCCTGGGAACAGGGTGGCTCAGCTGCCAAGGCGCCCCGGGGCCCCGGCCGGCAGGCAGGGGCGGGGGCCAGTCTGCGTCACCGCCCGCCCGGTCCTCCGCCCCCTGCCCCCCGCCCCCTGCCCGCCCAAACTCCACCCCGAGGGAAGGCGGCGCGGATAAAGGCTGGGGGCCGCCCGCTCGGCCCAGACCGGCCGGGCCAGCGCGCTTTCGACTCCCGACGAGGGTACTCGCAGGACTTGGGATCCAGGACCGGCCGCGCCCGGTGAGTGGGGGGGCGGGACCTGCGGGTCGAGGCAGGGTCCCCACTCTAGACGGCTCAGGATGCCCGCACTTTTCTTTGTTCTTGGGACAGGCGGGGTTCCGGGAGCCCTTGGTCCTGGGAAGCCCCCCGGGGTGCGGGGTGGGAGGGGCTCCGCACCGCCCTGGCCGGACCTCAGCCCCCGCCCCGCCCCCCCGGGGCACTCCCCCTTCCCCGCGAGTGACCTTGAACTGGTTGCCGTTCCGCCTCCGTTTCGCAGCCACGCGGTCCCCGTGTCCCGACTTAAAGTCTTTGGTCCCCGATCGGGGTTCCTCCCCCGCGCGCAGCCCCGCCGGCCTCCTCCCCTGCCCGGGGCAGCGCAGCGCCCCCTCCCCGGACTCCGGGCGGCGCTCCCGGGCGGGCACGGCAGAGGGCGCACCCGAGCTGCTGACTCACCGCATCCCCGAGCGCGCGCGGGCGCAGCCGGGGACGCCGCGTCACGTCACGGCTCGGGCGGGCGCGCCTCGGGAAACGGGCTGTGCCCGGGCCGGGGGCTGGGCGAGCGGGGCCCCCAGCAGCAGCCACCCAGCCACGTCACCGAGGTGCGGGCGCCCCGCCCCAACCCCGTCCCCAATCCCCCACGCCCGCCCCGGGGGCGCAGCCCGAGCATCCCCGCCGGGACCCCGGCCACGAGGCGCGGACTTCGCGCTCCCGCTTCCGCTCGCGGCTCTTCCCGGACGGACGCGGCGGGGCGGCCCCACGACTTCCTGCCCCTCCTGGCGCCGGGAACAATGGCCCGCGCCCCCACCCGCTCCCAGGCCGCTCACCGCGGGTCGCAAAGGGGACGAGGCCCGTCTCGGGGCCGGGGTCCCGCGCCCCCCGGGGCCCGCCCGCCCTTTGTTGCGGGCTCCCGGCGCTTATGAATGGCTGCGGGCGCGGGCGGGGCGGGGGCGGGGGCGGGCACAGAGAGGCGCCAGCCCCGCCCCCGCCGCGCTCCCCTTGGTCGTCCGGGCGCCGGGGGCGGGGCGAGGGGCGGGCCCGGCTGCCACGTGGGGCGGTGCCGCGGCGGCTCCCATTGGCTCGGGCTCGCGGCCGACTGGGCGCTCGGCGCGCGGCGATTGGCCGGCGCGGGGCCGGCGGAGTAAGTAGTGAATGGGAGGGGGCGGCGGCCCCGCCCCCTGGAACGTTGATACATTATAACTTTTTTTTTCTTGTTACTTTCACCCCCAGATCCTCCGAGCGGCGGCGGCTGCGGCTGTTGCTAAGGGAGGGGACGCGAGGGGAAGCGCGACCCGGGCGGCGGACGGCACCCAGCGCCACCGGCCGAGCGGCGCCCCCTCCCCAGGACCCTCCCCCGCGTCGCGCCCCGGTCGCGCCCGCCGCCCTTTAAAGGAGCAGCGAGTGCGGTCCCCACCCCCGGAAGGCGCCCCAGGAGCCGGAGCGACCCCGCAGCGCCGCTCGAATTTTGGATTTCGGTCTCGCCTTCCGCGGCCGGGACGTCCCCGAGTGCCCGGAGGACCCGGCGTCCGGGGGGCCCCCCCCCGCCCCTGTCCCGGAGGCGCAGCGAGGATTGGCGGCTCCAACCGCCCCCAGCGCCCCCAGCGCGCGCCGGGGATGGAGCCGCAGCCCGGAGGCGCCCGGAGCTGCCGGCGAGGGGCCCCCGGCGGCGCCTGCGAGCTGGGCCCGGCGGCCGAGGCGGCGCCCATGAGCCTGGCCATCCACAGCACCACGGGCACCCGCTACGACCTGGCCGTGCCGCCCGACGAGACCGTGGAGGGGCTGCGCAAGCGGCTGTCCCAGCGCCTCAAAGTGCCCAAGGAGCGCCTGGCGCTTCTCCACAAAGACACGTAGGTACCGCGCGCCCCCGGCCCGCCGCCCCCTCGGGCCCCGGCCCCCGGGCGGGAACAAAGAGCGCGCCGCGCGGGGAAGGCAGGGGGCGGCCAGACGGGGGGCGGGGGCGCGCCGCGCGCTCTCGGGCGCCCTCTGCTCGGCTGCGACTGCCTCGGCCCCCTCCCCCGCCCGGGGTCGCGGCACAAAGGCGGCCGCGAGGGTGTCCCGGGCCGGGCTTCGGCGGCCCCCTCGGGGGCGGGCAGGAATCCCAGGGCGGCGCGGGGGTCCCGGCTGCGGGCGTGGGGGCCGCCGCCGCCCCCTCCCGCCTGCGTCCGCGCCGGCTTCCGCATCTGCTCGGCGGCCTCCTCTGCGTCTGGCTGTCTCCCCCCCACTTGCGTCTCTCTCCCCCCTTTGTTCTCGCCTCCGAGCGCTCCCCGCAGCCTCCCCTCCCCCCTGGTATTTAAATCGCCTGCAGGCCCGGAGCCCTCCCCTCCCCAGGGCCTCCGGGGACACGCAGTGTCCATCCCAGCGGAGGGGCCCGGCGGGGGAGGGGCGGAGGGGGAGGGTCTCCTTTGTCTGCGCCGCGGCGGCCTGCACCAGGGAGGGAGGAGGAGGGGGAGCCCGGCCCGGCGCAGCCCCCAGGGCCTCTCCACGGGCTGAAACCCCTGGCGCCCACAAAGACCAGCCAGGGCTAGAGTTGGGGAATTGGAGGCAGGGGTTGCCCTGGGGCACCGGGTAAGGTGGCATAGAGCACACTGGCGCCCAGACGAGGAGAAAGTGCCTTGTTGGGGTGCAGAGGGGGTTGCCAGAGTCCAGGGCGGGGATTCCGTTGGGGGGAGGAGGTCGGAATCTCTAGGATGGGGGCTCCCAGCACCAGACCGAGCCCTCTCTGCACGCGCTCAGGGCCCAGGATCTGGAAGCCGGGAAGGGGTGGGGGTGGGAACTTCTCCGTCTCTCCCCCCACAAGCACGGCCCTCCCCCGCGGCCTCTGCTTCCGCGTCCCTGTGTCGTCTCCGAGGAGTCTCATGCTCTTCCTTCTTCCCCTCCCCCAGCCGGCTGAGTTCGGGGAAGCTGCGGGAGCTCGGCGTGGGTGATGGCAGCAAGCTGACCTTGGTGCCCACCGTGGAAGCGGGCCTCATGGTAAATGTCCGTGGGGCGGCGTGTCCCCCGAGGCCCGCACACAGGCAGTAGCCCCTCCCTCGGCACCTGTCCCCACACATGCCACTTGGGGCCCCTCCCCGCCAGCCAGCAGGGCCTCCCCACCCCGTGCTTCAGCCCCCGATTCCAGCCCCACACTGAGGCCCCTTTCCTGCTTCTCTCTGTAGTCTCAGGCCTCACGGCCGGAGCAGTCCGTGATGCAAGCCCTGGAGAGTCTCACGGAGACCCAGGTAAGACCTTGCCAGCCCCTTCCTAACAGGGCCGCTCTGGGGGCAGGGTGCCTTGGCCACGGATGGGACCCTGGGGGACGGGCAGGGACTCGCCACCCTGCCTGGGTGCCAGCCTGGCCTGGTCTCCCCGCTTCCACTCCCCCAGACTCACCGCTTGACCCAGAGGGTTTTGTTTCCCACGGTGGCTGCCCCAGGGGAAGGGGACCTTGCTTTCACAAGACTGCCTGTGGGGTGACCTTGGCCCAAGGGGCACGCACACCCGGGCCTTCATCCCTAGCCCCTCCGCCCCCACTGAGGAGCCCCCCCGCGCCCCCCCCCCGCCAGCCCTTGCGGCTTCCCCAGAGAGTTTCTCCTTTTTTTACATTTCTCCTGGGGCCGGAGGCGGCAGCCTGGGTGACACTCCTTCCGCCTTCTGTGACCCCATTGTGAGAGGGTGGGGACCTCGTCACCCCCTCCTCCTCCTCTCGCTGGCCTTTGTTCTCTACCCCGAAAGGGGAGGGGGCGGGGGCGCCCAGCCCTAAGGCCGGCGCAGCCTAGACAGGATGTTAGAAAATATTCAGTAAACGGCCAGGAGGGAGGCTGGGCCCTCACCCGGTTCCCGGTTCTGCTGCGGCCTTTTTTTTTCCTCCTTCTTTCCTCATTTTCTTGGCGTTAGCCAAGCCTTCCTCAGACAAGGGCTCTGGCCACCTCCCAGGAGGGTGACACAGGCCTCAGCAATACGCCGGCTGCCAGGGTGGGGGATGAAGGCTGCCACCCGCCCCAGCAAGGGGGTGGCCAGCTTCCCAGGCCTCCCCAGCCCTGAGGCCTGCGCCCCCTTCCCAGCGACGTGTAGAGTCCTGCCCTCTCCCTGCAGCGAGGGGGCAGGATGGGGGCCCAGGAGCTGGGTGGTCCGCCATGGGGGTGGCCGCGGCAGCCTCGGTGGCGTGAGGGCAGAGCCAGGGGTCCTGAGCCAGGGTGGGGGCTGCAGGTGATTTCCTGGGCGAGTGTGAGCCCATCTCCCCAACACTGGAGGGCTGCGGTTGGCAGGGGGCCCAGGGCGTGTGTTTGCTTCACACCCTCCTCCCCGGGCGCCTGCGTCAGGAAGGAGCTGGGGTTGGGGGGGCTGGGCGGAGACACTGGGCTCCCCAGGGTTGCTTCCCCGCCTGGCACCGAGTCATGCCCGCCCATTCGCCCTCCCCAGGGAGGAAGTTGCAGGGCGGGTGGTGGTGGTGACTCCAGCTGCTCTCGGGAAGCCACCCCGGGCCCTTCCTGCAAAGGCTGTCTTGGGGCAGGGGGGCCGGGCAGGCTGGGCCTCAGGGTGGGGGCTTCACCCTGCCCACCTCCCTGCCCCTCCTCCCCATGGGCCCCAAGCAAAGAAGGCTACGCCAGCCACTACCAGCGGAGAGCCGGGAGGGAGAGCTGGGAGGCAGTCGGTTCTGAGTCATCCCGGCCTATGTCACTTCTCAGAAACCTCCGCCCCCCCATCCCGGCCCCTGGGGAGAGCAGGGCTCTGGTCAGGACTCAGAGCAGGGGGCTTAGCGAGGACAGGGTCAGATCTCACCTACCCACACCCACCCTGAATGGGGGCAGATTGAGGGTTTCTGTGCTTGGGGCAGGTGGAGCCCTCCCAGACTCCAGCCCCAGGGCCATCAGGACCCCTTCCTGCAGCGTTGCTGCTGCCCCCTCCCCGCCCAGGACAGATAAATATTTATCTGGAGAAAGCAAAGGTTACAAGGGAAGAATTCTGTCCAGGAATTCCACCCATTTGCTGGCCCTGATGACCTAGCTGGGAGGGGGCCTGAGATGGAGCCCCCTCCTAATCCCAGGCAGAGAGGATCTAGGGACCCATGAGGGTGAGGGAAAGGCTGAGTGAAAGTCTGTCAGGTCAGTGACTGCCAGCTGGGCCCCGCCCCCTCTGGCCTCAGTTTCCCCTCGCAAGAACCAAACAGAGTTGGCCAGGGAGGGGCAGGCCCCCGTCTGACCCGCCTCTGTCCCCACAGCCCCCAGCGGCGCCCGGGCCGGGCCGGGCTGGCGGAGGAGGCTTCCGGAAATACAGATTCATTTTATTTAAGCGTCCGTGGCACCGACAGGGACCCCAGAGCCCAGAGAGGGGCGGCGAGAGGCCCCAGGTCATAGCTCGGGGGGGAACGGGGCCGGGCCGGGCTGGGGGCGCCGCAGGCTGGGGCTCCGGGCTGACGGGCTGCTCTCCCTGCAGGTCAGTGACTTCCTGTCCGGGCGCTCGCCGCTGACACTGGCCTTGCGTGTGGGCGACCACATGATGTTCGTACAGCTACAGCTCGCGGCCCAGCACGCCCCACTGCAACACCGCCACGTGCTGGCCGCCGCCGCCGCCGCCGCTGCCGCTGCGCGGGGGGACCCCAGCATAGCCTCCCCGGTGTCCTCACCCTGCCGGCCGATGTCCAGTGCCACCCGAGTCCCCCCAGTGCCCACCAGCCCTTCCCCTGCGTCTCCCTCACCCATCACAGCCGGCTCCTTCCGATCCCACGCAGCCTCCACCACCTGCCCGGAGGTGAGCCTGGGGAAGGGAAGGGTGACCCTTGGTTGGAATCCAAAGGGTGGGCTATCCTGGGAAAGGCTTGCGGAGAACAAGGGCTCTTAGCTCCAGGTGAGTCCCTCGTATGAAGGACTAGCGTGTGACTTCAGGTTGTTGGGTGGTCCACCAGCCTAGACTGTGGGCTGTGGGCTATCTCTAGACCCTGAGTCGGTGGGTCATCTCCGGACCCGACCTGGGCCGGTGGGGGAGTCTCCTGACCTTTGACTCACGGGTTGATTCTGTTCTCTGGGTTGGTTGTGTCCTGACCTTGGACAAGTTTCTCCCTAGACCCGGCATGGATGTGTCATCTCCTGACCTGGGCCGGTGGGCTATCTCTGGAACCTGGGTTGGTGGTGATACCCTGAGTCTGGAGGTCATGCTCACGTGCCCTCCCTCCCGTTAGCAGATGGACTGTTCCAGTACGACCAGCGGCAGCGCCAGTCCTGGTGCCAGCACCACGTCTACCCCGGGGGCCAGCCCTACCCCCCGCTCCCGAAAACCCGGCGCCGTCATCGAGAGCTTTGTGAATCACGCCCCAGGGGTCTTCTCAGGGACCTTCTCTGGTAGGTGCCACAGCGCACGTGTGACCGAACTCCCGGGAGTCCCGAGACCCTGTGCGTCTCGCACAGGTCGCTCCACGCGTTCTGGGCAGACACAGACGTGTCCAGGCATCCCCACGCATACGTGGGCCTGCACGGGAGGCCGAGGGTCACCGGGCGTCCACGTACTGCAGACGTGTCCCATTCCCACCCCGTGGTCCCTCGCGCATGTGCCCACCCCGCCATCCGAGCTCATGAGCTCACACCCGTGGACGCCTGTCCTGGACATGAGGGACCGTGGGTGTGCCCCGTGCTCATGGCCATCTCTGCCCGCAGGCACGCTACACCCCAACTGCCAAGACAGCAGCGGACGGCCACGGCGTGACATCGGCACCATCCTGCAGATCCTGAACGACCTCCTGAGTGCCACCCGGCACTACCAGGGGATGCCCCCGTCGCTGGCCCAGCTCCGCTGCCACGCCCAGTGCTCCCCCGCCTCGACAGCCCCTGACCTGGCCCCCAGAACTACCTCCTGCGAGAAGCTCGCGGCCACCCCCCCAGCCTCCCTCCTGCAGGGCCAGAGCCAAATCCGCATGTGCAAGCCCCCGGGTGAGTAGCCACCCTCCGCCCTTGGGGGTCACGCCTTCCCCACCCGCAGGGGCTTCTCAAGGCTCCTCTGTGTGAGCCGGTGGGCACAGGAGCAGCTGACCTGCCCAGGGGCGGGTCGGGGGGGGGGACAGCAGCTGCTGTGGCCACTGCTCTGCTTCAGCTGGGAGAGAAGGCAGCGTGTGTGTTAGGGCACAAAGTGTCCTTGTGTGCTCCCGGGGGGGCCCCAGCCCCACTTCCTCCTGGCCCCCCCAGGGCATCATCTCCAGATGGCATTTGGAGCTTCTCTGAATGGCCGAGTCAGGTCTGGCAGGCCGAGGCAGGGCCAGAGCCCACCCCTAGGCATTTCGGTGACTTAAAAACCAAGAAAACTACCCGCCCCCCACACACACTGCCAAATTGCCGGGTTACTCCCCCTGCAGAGTCCCAGGGGAATATGGCTACTGTCACCCCCTCAGACTCCCCAGCCATGGCAGGGGCTCCCAAGGTCAGTTTAAAAGCGGGAAACCAAGGAACAACCCCCAGGTGTCTCCCGTGGGATCACAGAAGTGGCCAATAGGCTCGGGAAGGATGAGGCAGAGCAGTCTTGACGTCCCAGCTCATGGTTCAGCTGGAGAATTGGATGCTTAGCCGCGCAGCTGGGATTAGAGACAGACACCACCATGCCTGGCTAATTTTGTAATTTTTGCAGAGGGGCTTGGTATGTTGCCTAGTCCTGTCTCGAACTCCCATGCTCAAGCGATCCTCCTGCCTCAGCCTCCCAAAGTGCTGGCATTACAGACATGAGGCACCGCTGCCCCCAGCATGGTGGACGCCCTTGAGTAACCTGGCACAAGACTCCAGGGAGGGCAGGACTGCGTCTGACCACAGGGACATTTGCTGGGGTCTGGGGTGGTCCTGTGTTTCAGGACTAGAGGTGGAAGCTTTGGGAGTCACAGGCCACTGCCCCCTTTGCAGGGGACCGGCTTCGGCAGACAGAAAACCGCGCCACGCGCTGCAAGGTGGAACGGCTGCAGCTGCTTCTGCAGCAGAAACGGCTCCGCAGAAAGGCCCGGCGAGATGCCAGGGGCCCGTACCACTGGTCACCCAGCCGCAAGGCGGGCCGCAGCGACAGCAGTAGCAGCGGGGGCAGCGGCAGCCCCAGCGAGGCCTCCGGATTGGGCCTCGACTTCGAGGACTCCGTGTGGAAGCCAGAAGTCAACCCTGACATCAAGTCAGAGTTCGTGGTGGCTTAGGATCGGCCACCCTCGCCCCTCGCACCCCAGCCCAGGGCGGTGGGCACTCCGAGAGCCCCACAGAGAGCGCGGCCCAGCTCTGGAGGGCAGGCGGCCACTCCCCCCCCCAGCCAGAAGCCTTTCTTTCTTTCTTTCTTTTCTTCCTTTTTCTTTTTTTTAAAAAGTTCTGACCGTGGTTTCCTGGACTCTTCATGGGTTTTGCTTCCTACCCCTTCACCCTCCGCCCCTGCTCTCCTCCTCTGTCTCTCTCACCTCTGCGCCGGTCGGTCCTCCCCGCCAACCTTCCCCACCTCCAATATGTAGCAGCCTTTCTGGATGGCAGAGACTGAGAGAGACAGAAACCCATCCATCCCTTCCGCCGCCTCCTTCCCCCCCCCCCCACCCTATTCAGGTTTTAAGTCAAAAGTGTCGGCGTGTCATTATGCACTTTACAGATGAGGGGAGGGGGCCGCAGTGTGCAGGACCCTTCCCGCCCCCCCGGGCAGACTTCAGGGCCTCCACCCCAGGCCAGCAGCAGCCTACGAGGGGACTGTGTTCTCTTCAACTCTATTCTCTTTTCTCGGTGTCTTTTTACATTTTTCCTTCATTTCTTTAAAAAGGAGAGCAAAGCCGTTTTATCGGAGAGCCTGGGGCTGGGGTCTACCTAGGGGTGTGACAGCCTTTCCTGCAGGGAAGTGAGAGGGGACCTGCCCACCCCCAGCCTGGACTGTGCTGTTTCCTCCACCCCCACCCCAGTGTTTTCGGACCTCCTGCCTGAGCTTGGGGTATTTATAGACTATTAATTTTCTGACTGAGCCAATAGTGGTTGGGGAACTCTTGAAAAATGGGGAGAGAATGGCTGGGTGCTGGGGAGATGCCCCCCCAGCCCTCCTTCCCCGCCCAACCTGAGGGATGTGGAATTTGGGACTGTCTGGGGGCCTCCTGCAGCCAGGATAGGAGGGGGGTGCTGAGCTGTGAATCCCCCTGGGTAGGGGGTGTCAACTCCGTGTAGCATTAACCCCTGTGGCGGGGTCCGCTGCTGGTCTAATTTGGACCCCCCACCCCTCATTGCCCCTGCTCTAGGGGTGTCTGGCCCCAGAGGGGAGGGACAAATCCCATACTGGGGCCATTTCAATGGGGTAGTTTTTGGATTTTTTTCCCCCACTGGTTTTTTATTTTTTAATGACAAAGGAGATGTCTGGGCCTCCCCACTCTGCCTGTCGGTCTTGTCCTAGCCCTGCCTGTCCCCCCCCCTTTGTTCTCATAGGTGAACCCCCCGGGTCCTCAGCTCCCCCCTTCTGTGTTGGAAGTCAATGGTTTCAGATGTGAACATCGCGTGTTCTAACTGTAGCTCTGTACATTTGTTTGTGGGAGGGTGGGCAGGGAGGGGTCCCAGAGGGTAAAAGCTCAAGGATTTTGGGTTTTGTTTTGTTTTCGTTTTTCCAAAAAAAAAGAAGAAAAAAATAGAAAAAAAAAAAAGAAAAAGGGGCGGGTTTGTTTTTTGAAGAACTGTCTTGGATACCTATTTAAATGTGTGTTCTGTTTTGTTTTTTTAACGATTTTTAAATAACGTCCGTGCCTCCGTGGGTTGAGGGTGGAGCCTCCGGGCAGTAACCGGCTTGCCACCCTCTGCCTGGTCAGGGCTACCCAAGAAAGCATTACCCGCCCTCGGGGGGTCGGGCTGTGGGGGTCCCGGCACCTGGCGTGAGTTTCATGTATGAAAAGAAGGAAACCCTACACAAGCACCGTGATTTCAAGTAATAAACAAAATGAAACAATTCCGCGTCCCGCCTGCTCACCTGGTGGGGGGGATTGGGCCATGGTTGGGGGGGGACTCCCGGGGTGGGATGTCACAGTCCGAGAGGGACGGACCTGGATCCCAGGGGCTGGCACCCTGAGAAGTTCCCACGCTCCCTCCCCAGCTGCGGGGTGGGCAGGAAGCTGCCTGGGTGTGGGAGGGAGGAGTGCAGCCACTTCCTGGTACCCGGGGCCGGAAGTCCCTTAGGGTGTGGGGCAAGGGCCTGCCTGCCTGCTGCGTGGCCTGGGCAGGACCCTGGCCCCCTCTCAGGCCCTGCCGGTAAGTGGGGACATCTGCCCAGTTCTTTCCAGACACAGGAGTGGGGGTGGCTCCCGCTGTGCCAGCCCCACCCGCTGTTCTTACTGGAGTCTCACCTCTGTGTGGCTGACCGGGAGGACCTGAGAATCCTTAGGGTACCTTGGGCTGGCTGGTGATAGAGGCCTGGCTTAACCCAGCCCTTGGGGAGGGAGGGTTCTCTCTGGCCACACCTCCTGACATTCCAGCCCTTCTGAGGCCTGGACATCCCGGCCTTTGCCCCTATCTAGAAACACCCCTCGCCTGGCTGTCCCTGGCCCTGTCTGGGAACTTCCCCAGCCTGCACCTCCCACCCCTGCCCGCCCCGTCCCACAGACCCCACCCTTTCCTCTCTCTGCTCCCAGCCTGGAGCTCCCCAAAGGCCCCGCCAGAACTGAGTCCCCTCTGGGGTCCCAATCCATCCATGTCCGACCTGGGTAAAGATGGACAATAATACTATTTCATGTCCTTTTATTCCTTAGAGACGGGGTTTCACTGTGTTAGCCAGGATGGTCTTGAACTCCTGACCTCGTGATCTGTTCACCTCGGCCTCCCAAAGTGCTGGGATTACAGGCGTGAGCCACCTCGCCAGCCTCATGTCCTTAAAAATCAAAAACAAAAAATAAGACTGTATTTCAAGTAACAAGAGTTGCTTAAGAGTTAGAAGTAATTGGGCTCCCATTTTATAGATGGGGTAACAGACGCCCAAAGAGAAACGTCGCTTGGCCCAGAGAATTTGGGGTGTTTGTTCAATGATGTGACCTCCACCCCTTACCCCATCTCTAGGGGCCCCAGCCCTGGGAGCACAGAAGGGAAAGGGCACAGGTCCCGGGAGTGGCCTGGGAGCATCTTTCTGAAAACCGTCTGCCCCTCCCACCGCCCAGTCAACCCCAAATCATCCCACGCCCACGTCAGGAAGGCGGATGCCCAGTCAGGCGGCCCCGGTCTCTAGCGCGGACGTCCCCTAGGGGCTCAGGATGGGGTGCGGGTCACCGGCGCCCGGCCTGGGGTCAGGGCGAGGGCCCCAGGGCGCCGCCGCCCCCTCGCCAGGCGGTTGGAGAGGAGGAAGAAGGATGTTGTCTGCAGCACCTGCTGAATCACAGGGGCTGTGTCTGCAGCCTGCAGGGCGGGGGGCCCGTCCCCTGCACTCCAGGACCCGCCCCTGGGGATGCCGACCCCCACCCCAGCCTGGGGATCCCGGGGGTCAAGGCTGTGCCCTGGGGGCTTTGGGTGGGGTGTGGAGCTCCAGGTTCAGAGCCCTGGGCTGGTGGGCTAAGCTGATCCAGGGGTGCAGCGGACAGACCCGCAGGCGGAGGCCACGTGTGCGTAGGAAGGCACGGAGAGGTAAACTGAGGCACAAAGAGGGCGGGGCCCTCTGTGATCGCGGGAGGCGGGGTCCGACCTGGATCGCTCCCTTCCCCCCCCACCATTGAGGAAAAAGCTGAATGGGAGGGGGCGGCCCCCGGAAACCCGCCGGGATGGAAACGCGGTTTCCAGGGCAACGCGCCGCGAAAGGAGCCTGACGTCACCCCGGGTAGGGCGCCCCGCCCGCCCCCGTCCGCGCGTCGGGCGGCTCAAGCCCCGCCCACCCTTAGGGACGCCTCATTGGTGACCTCACCTCTCGCTCATCTGCGTGCCCCAGTAGCAGAGGAGGCAGCCCCTAGGAGGCGGGACTTCAGCCCGGCTGGGACGAGTGCGCAGGCGCAAGCGCGGAGGCGCTGCGGCCCCGCCCCTCTCCCCGCGCGTCTGCAAACTTGGGGGCGGGAGGCGCAGCCGAGGGTCTGACGGCTGCGGCGGGGCCTGGACGGAAGAGGGGGCGAGCCCCGGGGCGCCGCACGTGGACCCCCGGCACGGGCACGCTCACGTGCACCCGTCCTTTCACGCCAACGCGTTTCCTGCTGCCTCCACCCCTGCACCACTCCACGTCCCAGACCGCGGCCCGGCCTCCCCGGGGTCCCTAGGCTTGGGGGGTCTCAGACGGGAGGCCCGGAGGAGGGGACTTTGGGGCTGAGGCTTTGCCAAAGGAGCAGGAGTTTGCCAAGTGTTGTAGGAAGCGGGAAGGGTGCGCCAGGTACGGGGCACGGCGTGTGCAAAGGCCCGGACACGTGAAACCGAGTGCATTTGGGGGGCAGCCGGGAAGGCAGTGGGTGGAGGAGATTCAGAGATGGGAGGAAAGGGGGAGCCGGCAGGGATCATAACAGGCGATTCTCCACGTCGGCCACCGGAGGGATGACCTGGGGCACCCGGGAGGAGGAGCGGGTGGGGGGAGCGGCGGCCAGGACATGTGGGAGGTGGCTGGACCCGTGGCCTGGACTTTGGGGGGGGTGTCGAGTGGGGATCGATGATCGGTGGGGACCCTGGTGGCCTCGCCCTGGGAAGGTGGAGACGAAAAGGAACTACGGTGTGCAGTCCTGGCGTCTGTCGCGGCCGTGCCCGGAAAGTGCTGGCTTTAGGGGGTGGCAGGGGGGTTGGAAGTTTTGGGGCGGAAATCCGAAATGCCTTTGTGAGTCCTAGATCAAGAGAGCTGAGGACCCAGGAGGCAGGAGGCCCCCTGGCCGCCCGCTGCTTGGTTGTGGGCAGTGGTTGGTTGCACAGCGCCTGTGCCAGGCGTGGAGGCTGTAGCCAAGGCCTTTGGTGCAGCCTGGCCTCTGGAGTTCGCAGGGTGGGGGCGCCCCGTGGCTGGGAGCCCGTGCGGGTGCCCCTGCCAGACGGTGACCTCACAGGTGGGCAGTGCTTGGGGAGACGCGGCAGCTGTGGGCGGGCAGGAGAAGGTCACTGGAGGTCATGGCTTTGGCTTGAGGCTGGAGTTCTCTGGGGGTGGCCGAATGGACCCTTGGAGCCAGCCTGGCAGGTGGCTAGGGTGGGCAGCGGTAGAAGCCAGGCAGCCAGCACCCCCTGGCCTGGAGCCACTGGGTCGGAGGGATTGAGCCGGCGCCCGGGCACAGCCGCCCCCACAGGGCCTGGCCACACCCGCCCTCCTCTCCCAGCACCATGGGAATGGGAGTTACCAGGCTGGAGGCTGAGGACGCCACCACCCCGTGGCCAAGGGCGTTGGGGCCCAACCCAGGAGCCGGGTGCTGCCCCACCCACGGGCCGCCTAGCCCTCGGAGGGCAGAGAACTGGCTGCCTTTGGGGTCACTTGGAACAGGTGAGCTGCCCAGCCCGCCGGGTGGGGGCGGGGAGGCTGTCACAGGGCCCTGCCTCCGAGGGCCCTCCTGCCCTGGCCTCCTCCCTGTCTGGTTCTCACTCCCTCCGTTGCTTTCTTTTGCCTTTGTCTATTTCTGTCGATCTCTGGCTTCCCCGGCCGCCTCTCCAGCCCAGTACCACCCTCTCCTCCGCCCGCCCCCCTCCCTCCCTTGCTTCCGCCCCCTCTCTGGGGGCCCCCTCACTCCCCGGGGCACATTCCAGCCTCCTCCCCCGCCTTGCAGCCCCTCCCTGGAGCCAGCTGCCTCCTCGGGTGCCGGAGCGGAGGGAGTGGGCTCGGGCGGAGGTCGGAGGTCGGGGAGCGGGCGGGAGCCGGGGAGGGCACCCCTAACCACTCTGGAATGTGGGCGGAGCAAGGTGAGGGAGACAGCTGGCTGCCTCGGAGGGCACACACCCCACACCCCGGACGCTACCCACACTCAGCCCTGTGGGAAAGCAGGCAAAACCAACGGGAGCCGTCCCACTCGGGGGCTGCAAGCCATCCCACACCCCCACCGGCAGCCCCGGGACAGCCTTCCACAGGACACGAATTTATGGGTACGGCTGGTGTGCCAGGCTCCCAGATACACCCCATAAACCTGCCCCCAACCTCAATCCACCGTGTGACCGTAAAGCAAACAGCACCGCCTGGCTCAGCCACGGCCAAGGCCTCCCCTAACAAAACCCCAGCCTGGAGAGTCAGACCGCACCCCACAGCTGCCACCAGATACAGAGAGCGCCCCGACCAGATAGAGGGCGGCAGCGTCCCCCGCCACCCAGCACACGCCTGGGCGGGGGCAGGAACACCCCCAGGGCCTCCAGCCGCAAACACTCACCCACTCACCCCTCAGCGCCCGTGATCCTTGGCTGCCCAGCCAAGCTGGACTCCAGGCTGCTGGTCGGGGTGGGGGATGGGGAGTCAGGGGTTCCCAGGCCAGCTCCAGCCTCCGCCTTCCAGAAGCCTTTCTGTTCCTGCTGGAAATAACAAATCAAACAGGAACCTTAGCATGAGGGACAACTACTGTTTTTGTTTGTTTTTGTTCTGAGATGGAGGCTCACTTTGTCGCCCAGGCTGGAGTGCAGTGGCGCGACCTCGGCTAATGCACCCTCTAACTCGGGGGTCAAGCAGTCCTCCTGCCTCAGCCTCCCAAGTAGCCAGGATTACGGGCATGCACCACCATGCCTGGCTAATTTTTGTATTTTTTTTTTTTTTTTTTGGTAGAGACGGGGTTTCATCACGTTGGTCAGGCTGGTCTCAAACTTCTGAGCTCAGGCGATCTGCCTACCTGGGCCTCCCAAAGTGCTGAGATTACGGGCATGAGCCACCACACCCAGCTTTTGTAATTTTAGTAGAGGCAGGGTTTCCCCATGTTGTCCAGGCTGTTCTCAAACCCATGATCTGAGTTGATCTGCCTGTCTTGGCCTCCCTAAATGCTGGGATCACAGGTGTGAATCACCACGCGTGGCATCAGTTAGTAGTAGTTTATTTATTTATTTATTTTGAGACGGGAGTTTTGCTCTTGTTACCCAGGCCGGAGTGCAATGGCGCAATCTCGGCTCACCGCAGCCTCCGCCTCCTGGGTTCAGGCAACTCTCCCACCTCAGCCTCCCAAGTAGCTGGGATTACAGGCACGCACCACCGCGCCCAGCTAATTTTTTGTATTTTTAGTAGAGACGGGGTTTCACCATGTTGACCAGGATGGTCTCGATCTCTTGACCTCGTGATCCACCCGCCTCGGCCTCCTAAAGTGCTGGGATGACAGGCGTGAGCCACCACGCCCGGCCCAATTATTAGTATTTTAGAGACAAGGTCTCACTGTCTCCCCAGGCTGGGGCAGTGACTGGATCACAGCTCACTGCCGCCTTGCTGGAACTCCTGGGCTCAAGCAATCCTCCGGGCTCGGCCCCCTGAGTACCTGGGACCATAAGGGAGCACTACTAGCCGTAGCTACTTTTGCTTATTTTTTTGGGAACGACACAGTGTAGCTCTGTTGCCCAGGATGGTGTCAAACTGGGCTCAAACAAAAGCCCCGCGATTACAGGCATGAGCCAGCTCCCAGCCTGCATTCTGGATGATTCCGTGTGGACTGCCACGTCAAGGAAGAGAACGATAAAGTCCCGGCGCTGTGGGGAGCTTGCCTTTCGCTGCTAAGTGCCCCGGCTGACTTCCTACCACGCACCCCCGCCATGAGCCTGTGATCCTAGGAGGTGCTGCTGGCGAGCTCACCTCTCAGATGAAGCAGTGAGGCCCAGAGTGGGTCCTGGACACCACCTGCCCCGCAGCTGGGCCCCTGACCCTCAAGAGACTGTGGCTGGGCAGCCATGGGTTCCTGGACAGGCATCCCCAGGCCCGTGTCCGCCGGGACGTGGAACCCTCTAGGCATGCTGGGTTGGACAGGTGCCAGGTACCTCTCCTGCAAGGTGTGACCTAGGTGTCTTCACACATACTCCATAGGTCCAAGCCCCTGCAGCTGCCTGGGGGAGGAGGGGACACTCCACTTGACTCACTCCACTCTTACCACGGAGATACCTCCAGCGCGGGGCAAGGCCTTTCTGGGCCTGGTTGTCTTTTCGGGAAACCCTTGCTCATCAGCCTCTGTCAGGCACAGGACCTGTAGTCCCATGAGAGGGGCCTGGGCCCCCGTGGGGGGGGTCCCTCCTCCTACCCCAGGGCAGGGGCTCTTGCTAAGCAACATCTGAGGCTACAAAGGGTGGGGGCTCCGGATCCCTCACCTTTACCCAGCCTCCAGGAAGGCAAGCCTAGACTTCGGTCACCATTTTTTTGTTTTTTTTTGAGACACAGCCTCACTGTTGCCCAAGCTGTAGGCGGTGCTGTGGCTCAATCTCGGCCTCACCACAATCTCCACCTCCTGCGTTCAATCGATTCTCCTGCCTCAGCCTCTTGAGTAGCTGGAATTATGGGCACCAGCCACCACGCCCGGCTAATTTTTGTATTTTTAGTAGAGATAGGGTTTCTCCATGTTGGTCAGGCTGGTCTCAAACTCCCGACCTCAAGTGATCCACCCACCTCAGCCTCCCAAAGTGCTGGGATTACAGGCATGAGCCACTGCGCCCGGCCTCATCTTTGTACTTTTAGTAGAGACGGGGTTTCACCATGTTGGTCGGGCTGGTCTTGAGCTTCTGAGCTTGTGATCTGCCTGCCCTGGCCTCTCAAAGATCTGGGATTACAGGCATGAGCCACCATGCCCGGCCTCTTGGTCAGCTTCAGTGTGTTCGTGGATCATACAGGGACTTGGGCACGTCACAGACACCTGATCTTCAACATGCATGGGTGCACATCACTGCAGGTCCACCATATGTGCCAGCTGGTCTTTGCCCCAGCAGAAGGGTCACCTGCGTCTACAGTGTCTTTTGTCCTCTCTCCGTGTACCAAAAGAGCAAACAGGTGTGTGACTCCAATACAGGTCTGGGTCGGTCCCATCCTCAGCCTGTCTGCTGCTGGTGCCTGTGGCTGCCGGCAGCTGCCGTCTCCGGATGCCAAGTGCATGGTGTGTGACTGTGACTCTGTGTCCAGCAGGTATGCAGCAGAGGTGTGAGTGCGCACCTCTGTGTGGCCTGTTGCCAGATGTGTGTGCCGGGGATGTCCCTCTGTGGCCCAGGCCCGGCCTTTGGGCTGCTGGGATGGCCTGGCTGAGGCAGGAACAGACAGGACCTCCCAACCTCCACATTCCTGAGCTGTGACTCAGGCCTGTGGGGAGAGGGTGAGTCACAGGGAAGGGAAGCCGTCCCACCCTGCGGCCACATCCGAGGAACAGAAGGGAAACTGAGGCCGATGGCTTTCCTGTGTAGCAGCCCCTGAATCTCAGGCATGGGGGACCTCCCAAGGGACCTGAGATCCCACCCCTAGGCTCAGGTAAGAGCTAGGGAGAGGGACAGGTTTAACCCTTCCTCCTCTGGGCTGCCCTGGGAGGCACGGCTCCCGCTGACACACAGCACGTGTGCCCACCCCAGGGACATGAGTCACAGCACCAGGCATGGACACATATGCTCTGTGGGTCCCAGCACATCCGACTCACGCACACCCAGCCCTGTCCCCTGCTGCACCCACATCCACATCCGGATAAGCGCACGCTTTGGAGTCCAAGCGCCCACCTCCTGTGCACACACAGCGCCTCACAGACGGGTTCCTGTGTCCTTGCACACGCGCGGGTGCCGGGGGCTCCGTGCACACATCTCCAAGACGCCGTGCGCGCCCCTTTCTGCCCCGCGCACCGAGACAGGCCGGCCTGGGGTCCCTGCAGCACCCACCACGCCGTGTGCACTTGGAGAGCCGCACATTCGTGTCCACACAAGCTTGTGTCTCCGTCTCTTTACCCACGAGTCCTCTGCCCACGGGCACACACCTGGCAACCCGCACGCCCGGTCTCTGGGTCTCTGCAGCCCCTATCCTGGCTCTGGGCCCCGCGGACTGGGGCCAGCTGGGCCGGCTGCAGCTTCTGCCAGGACAGTCCCATTTCCGCGCCCCCGCGGGGCGGCCGCCAGGTGCACGATCCCGGCCCCCGCCTGGCAGGGAGGGGGCGGTAATTATTGCGGCCCCGGGGTCCCCCCCCACGCGCCTTTCATCCCCGGCCACGCCCGTCCCAGGCCTAGATGCTCTCTACCGCCTCCCGCCCGGTCATTAGTCGGGGTCGGGGGAGGACCCACCGTCCGGCGGGCAGGGCCCCGCGGGGAGGGCGGAGCGGCTGGTGCGGTGGCGAGGCGGCCCCGCCCCCGTCTCCATGGCGACGCCACACCGGGGCGGGGGCCGGGAGGAGTATCCGGGTGCAGGAGGCGCGCGCCCCCTCCGGGACCGCAGGCGAGAAAGGGGGCGGTGAGTGAATGGGCCCACGCGGCCCAAGACAGAGGCGCGGGGAGCAGGTACGGGGACTCCGGCTGATCCCCGCGCCTCGGGCCCCGGAATAGCAGCCTCGCGGCTATTTTGAGCCCCTCCGCTGGGGCCCAGGCGCGGGGGTGGCGGGAGGCTCGGGGTTGACACGCGGGCTGCGTCCTCGCCCTGCGAGAGCGGGTCCCTCGAGGACGGGGCGCGGTGGCGGCGCAGGACCGGGCGGTGGAGCCCCCTCTCCCACGCGAGGCCGCGCCGCGGGTGTGTGCGCGGAGGGGCAGCACCGGGCTCCCGTCCCAAACGCCCTGGACGGAGCGAGGCCGCAGCGCCCCCTCGTGTCCGCAACGGGCAGCGCGTCCCGGTCGCTCGGGTCCCGCGTGGGCAGCGGCCATCAGGGGAAGGACGAGGTCCCAGCCCCCCGGGACCCCCGGTGGGGCCACAGGGGCGCGGTGAGACACGTGGGAGGCACAGGTGCACGCAGACGCAGGTGACCTCAGAGGCACAGGTAAGGACACAGGTCCACACCCGAGTCCCGGTCACAGTGCTCCGAGCAGACGCAGAACGGCAGGTGCGCGGCCAGGCCACCCTGGGACCCCGGGACGGCTGCGGGCACTCACGGATCCCGCACCCAGGAACGGGCTCGTAGTCAGCGCTTAATAACTAGGCGCTGGCAGAATGAATGAATGAATGAATGAACTCGGTGGTTCACAAAACCAGGAAAAGGCAGAGGCTCACAGAACCAGGGAATGATGGGGGGCGGGAGGCGGCATGAATTCTGCAGGGGCCGCTGTGACTACACGGCATCCCCTCCACCTCCCACCCCTGCCCCGCAGTGAACGTCCCACCCTGACTGCTGGGGCTGGGGGCAGATCAGAGAGAATGGGCCTGAATTGCTCCCGGGCTGGGCACGCCCGGCCCGCGTCTGGGGCTCCAGTGGGTGGGGGGCCCCTCCCGCACGGACGGCAGGCGCAGAGGAGCTCGGATGTCTCTCTCCGCTCCCTTAATAACCAGCCTGCGTGAGTGGCTGACGCAGCGGCCGATGCTGCTGACGGGGAGTGGGGCGGCTGTAGTGTGGGGGGCCGAGGCGCAGAGGGGGTGGCGATGAGTCACACAGCTGCTGCCTGGGGGAGGGGGTCCTTGAGCCCATGAGGGGTCCCAGGGACCTTGTTAGACAGTGTCTCTGCAGTAACAAGGTCCCTGGGACCCCTCATGGGGAGTGGGAGTGAGTCTGAGGCCGGGAGTGGGGCTGGGATTTCCCTGGGGTGAGCAGCAAAACGGGGGGCTCCGTACCCTCATTCCCACACAGCTTGTCAGCAGAGGGTCAGCCCTCCTAAGACTTACCGGTGCGCACTAGCTTTTTCCACTGGGGCCGGGGGAGGGGGCCGGCACGAGGTGAGGTCTGGGCGAGGAGCGAGTGGTGGTCACAGAGGGCCCCCCCAGAAGCTTTGAGGCAAGAGTAGGGACTGAGGGTCCTCGCAGAGCTGGTTCTCCTGATGGCGGAGGTTTTGAGACTCTCCCTCGTCCCAACCAGGCTCGGCAGTGGGGGGCCTGTGGAAGTAGGGGAAAGACCCGGGTGGAGGAGCAGAGTGGGCCTGGCCCCGCGTGGGGAGCAGAGTGGGCCGAGGGTGTGCAGCACGGTGGGATGGGATGCCGAGGGCCCGGCTGAGTGCTGGGGTGCAGTGGGGACTCGGGGTGTCTACCTGCACCCGACAGCAGGGACGCACTATCCGGCATGGCGAGTGTGGGGGTGTGGACGATGCCTGGCCGTGAAGTCGCGGTTCCGGTGGGAGTTAGGCTTGGATCCGGGTTGGAGTCTGTAGGCAAACTGGGTTTCGTAAAGTTGGGGTGCACCAAAGTGTGGCAAAGTAGGAAGAGTTAGGATTGCGAATATTGGGGTTCGCATGAACGGGGCTCTCTGTTGGGGTTTGGGTGGGCATGGGGTTGGTGGCCGGAATGGAGTGCTGGGTGCTGGGAGAACTGGGGCGTCGGTTGTGTTAGCAAAAGCATCAGGACAGATGTCGGGGTTCAGATGAAGTTGGGATGTCTGAGAGCCGGGGCTTGGGTGCGTAGGGGATCTGGGTAGGTTGATGTGTCAGGACAGCAGGAGCACAGGCAAAGTCGGGGTCCCAGTGACACCCAGCGTTTCCCACGAGGCCGGAGGCTCGAAACCCCAGCTAGAGGCCCATTTGTTCCCCGCCGCAGGCCAGGGGGCGGGCACGCGGAACTGGGTCAGCCCCGCCCCGCCGCGCGCCAGCCACGCCTCCCCGGGCGCAGGCCAGGGGCTGCGGACCGGAAATGTGGCCAATCGCCGCGACCGACACCGGCGCGCAGGAGGGGGCGGAGCCGAGATAGACCAGGCCCCCGTCTTATGAATATAAGGCGCAGGCGCGGCCTCTGATTGGCTCAGGAGGTGGAGGGGGCGGGGCCAGGCGGCGCCTTATATAAGGCAGGGCGTCGGGGCGCCCCCCCTTCACTCGCGCGTTAGGAGGCTCAGGTCGTTGTGGTGTGCCGTCTTCCCGCTTGCGTCAGGGACCTGCCCGACTCAGTGGTGAGGGCCCTGGCGGCACCGGCTCAGAGGAGCTCGGGGCGGCGGGCGGCCTGCGGCGGCCAAGCGAGGCGGGGCCGTAGTGGCACGCCCCTGGGAGGGGGCGGTGCCGGGGCGGGCCCGGGGTGGAGTCCGCCCCGCCGGCGGCGAGGGGCAGCGGGAGATTGGGCCGAGCAGTGGCCAGAGGGCCTCTCCCCGCCGGCCCGGGCCGCCGGTGACCGGGTTGCTGCCGCAAAATGGCGGCCGCGAGCCCGAGGCTGCGCCCAGCGAAATGGCGGGAGCGCCGAGTGCCCGGATGCAGTGGCGCAGGGTGTGCGCGGGGCGCATGCGCACGCGGCGGGGGCGGGGCCACGTGGCGAGCCCAGTCTCGGGGGCCAGTTTTCCCGCCGTGGTGTTGGAAGTATCCACTTACCAGCGCTTTTGCTTCCCGAACCGCAGTTTCCTTCCTTTCCCATTGTGATCGAATGAGGGAAAGGACGCCCTCGCAGATTCTGGCTAGGCGTGCCCCGTTCTAATGTGGGTCCCCGTCTGCCATGTCTCGCTTTGCCCCCAAAGTTTGGTCCCAGTTGCCAGACCCCCCCAGTGCCAGACTTCCAGGTCTAGTTCTCAGAGCCCCTGGGTGGTGATCATTCGCAGCCCATGAGTATTTCGTCTGTCAGCACTGACCGCCCCCTTAAATAGCCAGTTCTCTTAAATGCCAATTATCCTGCCAGGAAACCCTGCCTCATTACTTCCGGGGCCATCCCTTCCCCATTCCCGGCTGAGGTCCTGTTTGTCCCGAGGTGTCCCCCATGACGGGGCGGTCTCCCTGACAGCCAGCCCGCCAGTCTCAGGAGGCGTTTTACAGTGGGCAGAAGCACTCTCTGGTCTCGCAGCACATCAGCTGGTTAGGGTAGGGGTTGGCACCAGTTCCGAAAGGGGAGAGGCGTAGGGTGCCGTCCTGCCCAGGGCACAACTGGAAGGCTGTTGGGGAAGGGAGACAACAGAGGTCCTGACCATGGGGAGGACGGTGGAACTGGGTGCGGCCTGCCTTCAGTCTGGGGGAGGGTGGGGCTGAGAATGACCGGATTCGGTGTGGTAAACCAATCTGAATTAAGTCCTGGGTGGCTGGGTGTGGTGGCTCACGCCTGTAATCCCAAACCTTTGGGTGGCGACAGCCGGGGCAACATTGCGAGACCCCATCTCTACAAAAATAAATATAAAAACAAAAAAGTAGCCAAGTGTGGTGGTGCACACCTGCAGTCCCATTTTCTTGGTTGGCTGAGGTAGGAGGAGGTGGAGGCTGCAGTGACCCGTGACTGCACCACTGCACTGCAGCCTGGGTGCCAGGTAGACTCCTGCAACCAAAAAAGTCCTAGGTGTGGGTTGGGGGTAACGAAAAGTAAGAAAAGTGATATTCTAATATGTCCAGCAAAGAACACACTCATTTACATAAAACAGGAAGGAGAGAGGTGGTGAGAGGACCCCTGTTGAGCATTTCACTGGTGTCTGTCACAGGCCGCCATGGCATCAGATGAAGGCAAGCTTTTCGTTGGAGGGCTGAGTTTTGACACCAATGAGCAGTCGCTGGAGCAGGTCTTCTCAAAATACGGACAGATCTCTGAAGGTGAGGCTGGTGCTGGGCTGGCGGCCCAGGAGGCTGGCTGGTACTCCTACCTACCTGTAGGGACAGCTGGGTGCTGACTGCAGACCTCTCTCCCCCGCACAGTGGTGGTTGTGAAAGACAGGGAGACCCAGAGATCTCGGGGATTCGGGTTTGTCACCTTTGAGAACATCGATGATGCCAAGGATGCCATGATGGCCATGAACGGGAAGGTGAGGATCAGGTGCTGAGCGGAAGCCCGGCCTGAGGAGGGGGCACCCCTGCTGACCTATGCCACCCTCTGGTCTCCAGTCTGTAGATGGGCGGCAGATCCGAGTGGACCAGGCAGGCAAGTCGCCAGACAGCCGGTCCCGTGGGTACCGTGGTGGCTCTACTGGGGGCCGCGGCTTCTTCCGTGGGGGCCGAGGACGGGGCCGTGGGTTCTCTAGAGGTGAGTGCCATGAATGGGCCCCTTGGGGATGCTGTGAGGCACTGCTGGTGGGAGCTGATTCTCATTTCTTTTTCCTGTATGTGCAGGAGGAGGGGACCGAGGCTATGGGGGGAACCGGTTTGAGTCCAGGAGTGGGGGCTACGGAGGTTCCAGAGACTACTATAGCAGGTGAGAGTGGAGTCAGCCTGGGCACAGGTGGCTGCGGGGGCGGGTGAGGGTGGAGTCAGCCTGGGCACAGGCGGCTGTGGGGCGGGTGAGGGTAGAGTCAGCCTGGGCATGGAGTGGCTGTGGGGTGCGGTGAGGGTGGAGTCAGCTTGGGCACAGGGGTGGCTGTGGGGTGGCCAGCTTCAGGCCTAGGTCCCTGGGAGGCCTGAGAGGAGGCTGGCTGAGCAAGGAGCAGAAGCCGGAGGTGACCCAGGCCAGGAGGAGAGGGGACTGCTTAGAACAGTCGCAGAAGTTGGAGGTCCTGGGGGACACAGCTGGTGGGGGTTTTGGATTTGCAAGGCTGCCCTGCCAGGATCCTTGCTGTGTCCCTTCTCCCAGAAGGGACGGCTGGCCTAGGGGCTGGCGGCTAAGCCTGTTGTGGCAGACCAGAAATAGCACTCATTTGTGTGTGTCCTGCAGCCGGAGTCAGAGTAGTGGCTACGGTGACCGGAGCTCGGGCGGGTCCTACAGAGACAGCTACGACAGTTACGGTAAGTCACATTCCGAGGGCGCCACGCTGCCGTGGCCTGCGGTGGGAGCTCGGTTCACTTTGGCGCCCTCTCCAAGCAACTTAGGCTGGACGTTCAGACCTTGTCACTGCGCTTGCCCGTAAGGGACGCATCTGTCCTCTCAGAGTCATTTCTACTGCAGGACACGAGCAAATGAGACTGACCAGAAAGGCAAGGGAGAGTGAGGGCCACCGGGCGGCCAGAGAGGTGCATGTGTGGCCGGCCAGCCTCCCCGGCTGTGGGGGGTGGTTGCTCCCCGGCCGCAGGCCGTGCCCGGTCTGGCCTCTGGGGTGAAGCTGCCTCTCGTTGCTTCAGTGCCTTTACACTGTGCCTGCTTCTTGTCCTCAGCTACACACAACGAGTAAAAACCCTTCCTGCTCAAGATCGTCCTTCCAATGGCTGTGTATTTAGAGATTGTGGGAGCTTCGCTGACGTTAATGTGTCGTAGACGCACCTCCTCGTATTCCCACTTTTGTAGTCATTTCGGTTCTGGTCTTTTCAGACCCAGCCCGACCGCTTCTGACCCGGGGATGGCCTCCTTAGAGACTTTTTTTTTAAGGAAGTGCTGTCTGTTTATAAGGGGTTTCAAACATTTTGCAAAGCACTTCAGATTTACTTTTTTCTTTTGACCACGAGCCACGAGTTCCAAAAAAGTCACTGCGGGTTGTGTGGGGCTTTCGTTCTTTAGTTTTTGGTGTTTTGGTTGCGTTGCTTTTTTTTCTTTTTTACTGGGGTTGGCCCCCTGAAGTGGGTACCCCATTCACTCCTCTCTGATCGAACGGACTGTGAATCCGATCTTGTCGGAAGCTGAGCAAGCTGTGGCTTTTTCCCAACTCCGTGTGACATTTCTGAGTGTAGTGTGGTAGGACCCTGGCAGGAGTGGCAGCAGCTGCCCTGGAGCCCCAGCCCGTGCGCTCATCTGTGCTGTGCACCCGATGATACACGTGCAGACGTGCCTGAGAGGTTCCTGAAGATGTTTGTTTCTATTGTCCTTTTTTACGGGAAGCCGTGCGCGCTCCATCGATGTTGTATCTCAGTGGCTGAGGAATCCTTGTACGCAGTTTGCTTTGGCTTCACGAAGCCGATTAAAAGACCGTGTGAAATGAACCTTGTTCTGACAGTTCCCTTGCATTGCTCGACACACTCCCTGCTGCAGGCTCCTGCAGCCAGGCCTGAGCAGAGAGAAGGGAGAAGGCGGAGGAGCAGCGGGGCTGCAGGCGAGAGCTAGATGAGGGAGGCACGGCACACTGGCACTGGTCAGGGCAGGGGAGCCAGGCGGGGGACGGGAGCGGGTAGCTCAGGCCAAAGGGCAGCCCCGGGAGGCTTCTGGCAGTGGTGGCCAAAGGGCTGGACTCTGCGGGCAGCTTAGCAGGTACAGCGGATGTGCGCCCGACGCTGGCCTGGACAGCCTCAGTCTAGAAACAGGCCAGAGAGCGGAGGCACGTGGCATCCCAGGGCGACCTAGCTAGTTCTGCTGTTGCTTCACGAGTTCTGAGCGTTCTCTGCTAGCCTATGGAAGCTGCAGCCCTCGGAGGACAGAAGTGTTGTGCGCCCAACAGAACCCTCTGAGACGCAAGCTGCTCCCTTGGCTAGCTCATATGTGGAAATAGCCCTGTAATTCGAGGTAACTCCTTCCGCTCGTGTCCACATCCCTCTTGTCGAGAGCTCATTGAAAGTCATGTGCCCGGGGAATGTTCCTGTGACTGTTTTTTGTTTTTCCTTTTTTTAAAAAATTACGGTGGAACTAAAGTCAGGCCCCGCCATCACTCCCTGCGTGCAGCCAGCGCAGCCTGGGCCCGGTCATGCCTGGCTCAGATGAGGTCCCTTAAGCAGGATTGGAGACCAGTGAACGCCCCCGCCTTTCGGAGTTTTTGCTCATCCATTGACCGTCTTTTCCAGACCTCTCAAGTCACGCTCTTAACTGTAGCTTTCTCTGATGTCTGTTGCCGCCATTAGTTTTTTTCCAGAGCCCACACTGGCCCACGCAGCTCCATCCTATGCAGGCAGCTGGCTCTGGCTGCGTCCCCAAGGTGCAGGCCTGCCCTGGGCACGCTGGCCCGTGACGGAGCCTGAGGTCACAGCCCCTGACTAGCCTGAGACCTTCCTAGGAGCTGTGGATGTTTCCGGGGAGGCCGGGAGGGGCAGCTGTGAGCCCCGTGGAGGACGTCGGGAGTAACGCTGCTTTGCTTTGGCAGGTTGAAGGGGCCTGGCCGGGACTCGGGGAAGGGTGGCCTGAGATCAGCGATGACCTCTAGGACCACTGTCCCGGGAGGGACGTCACCTGGAACAACAGCCGGAGGCAGCCGCCCACCCCGGAGGTTTGTCCCTTGTAAGTGCTGTCGGGAACAGTGGGATGTGGGCTGAGCCCGGCCCCGGGCGGCACCTGGTCGTTCCGGTGGGTCCTGCTGTCCCGCACCTGGGTGCAGGGCGGCGCCTCCCGAGAGGGCCTGGTCCGCCGGCTGGAGCCCGCCCCTGTTCCCCCTCCCCGTTCCAGGAGGCGCGTAGCCAGAAAGGCGCAGGCCCAGGGCCTCAGATCGCTTCTGGAGGACCGGCTGCGGCGCGCTGGCGGCTTTCGGGGCGGCCGGACCTTGCTCGCAAAGGCGGAGCCCTGTGAAAATGGGATTTGAATAAAGGGCCACGTGTGCACCCAGAAAGACGAGTCTGTGGTTTGGGGGGGGCTGTCGGGGTCGGAGCGGGGCCACGGGGAGAAAAGCCTGTGGTTCAGCGGAGGAGCCACGAGCCGGACCGGCGGGGAAGACGCGCGGGGCTGGCCACGGGGGCGCGGGGGGTGGTTCTGAGGCGCAGTCGGCCTTTGGGGAGCGGCGGCCGCGCAGGTGCCGTCAAACCCCGTCTGGGCGGAGCCCCGGGCACCTGCAGGAGGCTGGGGAAGGGGGCGCCTCCTTCCTGGACCCTGAACACCGCCGAAGCATCCCGAGGGTCCCTGAGGCCGGGAGAAGGGCGGGGACGAGCGGCCCGAGTTCCTGAGCCGCCGGTCACGGGCTCTGCCTGCCGCGCCTTCCCGGGCTCCCACGGGCGGGGTCCGTGAGAACGAGGCTCAGCGGAGGCGTGCGGGGCACTCTGGGTAGCGCTGCGACGGAGGGGGGCGGGGCCGGGCATCAAGCTCCGCCCCTGCGCTCCATTGGCCGGCATCGTCCCCGCGTGCCTGACTGACAGCCACACGTAGGGACGCGGCACCGCCACCGCTTCCGCCGGGCCATGGGGCCGAGTGTGTTGCCGCCGCCTCTGCTGCTGCTGCTGCTGCTGGCGGCGCTGCCGTGCGGTGCCGAAGAGGCCTTGCCGCCGCGGCCCGCGCAGGCCACACTGTCGCCGCCACCGGCCGTGACGAACGGGAGCCAGCCCGGCGGCCCGTACAATAGCACGCACGCACGTCCGCCGGGGACGTCGGGCTCGCCGCTGCTACGCTCCCTCTACGTGGTCATGGGCTTCTGCGGCCTGGCCGTGCTCTACTTCCTCATCCGGGAGTTCAGGTGCGTCAGGCGCACGCAGAGCGGTGGCCCAGCCGCGGCCAATCAGCACGCGCCTCCTGTATCACGTGCGGGGCGGGCCCCTCCCTCCCTGCTGGAGCGGGTGTGGGTGGGGAACAGTCCACGTGACTCGCTCGCTCTTTAACCTGTGGCTGGGCTCCCGGTTGCCGGTAGTTCCAGCCTCTTAATACGTGGGTTTTTCAGATGAAGCCGCCGATGCCAGAGCGTGCGGGGCGAGGGTCAGGCCCTGGCGGGGCGAGCGGTCCTTCTTGGTTCCTTGTCGCCGGCTGCCCATCCTTGCTCTGCTTTTCCCGCCTGCGGCCACGGCCCTTCCAGGGATCCAGTTTCTTTTGTGCTTCTAGCCACTGAAGCTGAGCCGTCGCCAGGGTCGGCCGTGTTCCCCCTTTGGGTGCTCCCACAGCCGGGGTGGCGCGGCTGCGTCCCCAGACCCTCACAGGGGCCCCCAGCTGTAGGCAGCCCCTGGGCTGTTGCCTGTTCAGGCCACC